TTATTATTATTATTATTATTATTATTATTATTATTATTATTATTATTATTATTGATATTGTGGTTTCTTGAGCTTGAGTTGTAGGTTTGGTTGGGGGTTTTTTCTTATTATGTCATGTTTTGATAATAGTTGCTTCTGCATGTGTTGTTATTGTTGTTGATGCTGTTGTTGTTTTTGTTATTGTTGTAGTTGTTGCTGTTTTTGCTGCTGCTGTTGTTATCTTTTCTTGTTGTTGCATCTCCTGTTCGTTTTTAATTCTTTAGTTGCTGTTGGTATAATGGTAATTTTCGCTGCTTCGGTTGCGGCTGCTGCTGCTGTTGTTATACTTTACTTTTTCTTTTTCCCAAGTCATGTATCGTAAGATATGAAGGGGGGGGGTGCATGTTTGGTCAAGGAATAGGTTGGTTTCTTCTGTAGTAGGTAGTAATAAGTGGGACATCGTTGTGATATCAGGTGCTCGTCAAAATAACGAAATTGAAAAAATAAATATTTTTCTCCCGTTGGGCACTTTTTAATCGATTTTTCTTCCTCAACAATTTTCATGTCTATACAAAAACGCATGTCTGTGTGGTCTGTACTGAAAAACATTGATCGAAGGCGCAAAAAAGTTGTAAATTTGCAGTGTCCAAGAACTCTCAAGCTATGGAAGTCAACAAATTTGGTGGCTATTTACTCGCTAATTTTACACCTGATCCCAGACGACCCCCACCTCCTCCAGTGACACATATCTTGACTTCTGTTCTAAGATAGATGCATATTCTACATTTCTTTCATCAAAAGCAAGACTTAATATGTCCAAAACAAAAGAAACAACAACAAAAAACTGGGGGGGGGGAGGGGTTGAAGACGAGCGCCTGGTTCCAGACCAGACCAGACCGTCATATATTTATTTATAGAGGCACCAGCCATTCCTGTCAATGCGCTGTTTTAGCCTCTTCCTCCTGTCTGTGATTGTATTATTAATGTCCACCTTTATCTCCATTATTGTATTATCCCGTATCTATGATTAATTTCCACCTGATTACACTGCGTCGTGACGCATGGTATTCTTGTGGAGGACCTAGATCTTTGACCCCATCCAGCCACATGTTTCGTTGTCTACCCCTCCTTAGCCTGTTATCACCACCACTGCTTGTACTATTTCTTTGAGTGCCGAACTTGTTAGTTTTGTTTCTGTTGGTGCTCGAGTCGATGTAACTGGTTATTTGGAGGGGGGTGGGAGGGGGGCGGGGGTTG